GCCTTTTATGTTGGGACACCTTGTAACATCTTTTTACTAAACAATTGAAGTCTTACTGATGTCTTAATGAAATAATTCCTTGGTGGGACTACAGATAAGGGGGTTATCTGCACACTGTAGTAGGACTCCCTTCTCAGGCTGTCTGTAAGATCCTGAGCAAGTGTGAGGGCCATCTCTAAACCCTTTGAGGCAGTGTCATCCCGGTCTGCTATTGGCAGATCCTCCCATTGAAAGGCAAACAAATACGGCCTTGGGAGCTGGGGTTCTCCAGAATAGAAAAAAAGATGTCCTTGAAATGAGGGCAGAAATCAGTGTCTCCTGAGATCTCTGCAAGGAAGGTGTATGAATCTGCTACCAGGGGCTGAGGACCACTGCCTCGTTGATTCTAAAATCTTGTTCTAGGCAATATCTTCCTGGTAGCTGGATTACCAGTAAAATGGGTGGTTCGTACAAGGACTGGCATGGCATCAGTAACCCTGTAGCCAAAAACTGATCAGTAATGGGCTTTAGTTCCACTCTTGCCTCTCTTTTGATGGGATGGTGCTTTTTAAGGTACAGATTAGGGTCCTTGAGCTGAATGATTACTGGGGTACCCGAGGATGCCATTGTACCATGCTTAGGGATCAACTCTGCAGAGGAATCAGGTCCAGTGGAGCTGGGTTGACAGGTCCCTGATAACTAGGACACATGTTGCCAGGAGTTTGAGTGACAGTGGCTCTGAGCAGGAGGAGTATGTCTTCAAATATTGAGGTAGGTCATTTTGATAATGTATAATCATGAAGGCAGCTTAGCAAAGGAAATCTCCCCACCTGCAGTTCAGAGTGGGCAATCCCTCCTTCAGGGTCAGGGGTCCTTGTCTGTATTTGGCAGTCTTGCAAGGACTCCAGGCTTTTGAGGGCACTCCTTTTGATGGCAATCGCTTGCCCTTGAAACGCTCAGACTTGCCTCTCACTCTTTGGACTACGTGGTTCCCTTGGTGTCACAGGCTTGTCATGAACCTTATTAGGGCTAGCGTGGTTCTGGCCTGCCTGTTTTCTTTACACAATTTCCATTAGTAGTCTTCTTTATCTCGGTTATTTTTGGTGGGGAGGGGAACTGGGAATCAAGCTTAGGACCTCGCATTTGCCAGGCAGGCTCTTTGCCCTAAGCTGTATCCCCGGCCCCATTTGTCTCGTTTATTAAAGACCACAAAGGCCATATTGTCCAATGACTTCTCACAGCTTGTGGGCCTTGGTGGAGTTTCTAGGGTTTCTTTTTTAGGATCTGGAGCTGACTGGCTGATCAAACAGTGCCCTGGGATAATTTAGCCCTCTCTAGGCTCTGGGTATATTTATGGAGTACATTAAATTAGTGTATTTATGGTTCTTCAAGCTGTTATTGATAAACTTCTGGATTTTCATCAGAGTCCTGACTGATAGTTCTGAGCTTACCGTAAGTTACAGGCATAGCCATATCCTTACACACAGCAGCTAAGGTGGCCCGAAAGTGTAACCTCTGTTTGGTTTTTCTACCCCAGTATCTTAGTCCCACCTGAACCCTTCTTGGAGCCCAAATAACACATCATTGTGCTGATTGCCCCCAGGTGAGGCCACAAAAGCCTCATTACTGCCCTGTTTTGCAGCTCTTAAGATTCTCTTCCTTTCTACTGCTGTGCAGCAAGAAACAAGGATAAACCGGACATCTTGCTAGGTCAGCTCAAAAACCACTATCAGGGTATGGAGTCTGTCAGCAAACTTTCTCAGGGTCTTCAGAGAATTTGCCCAGTTCCTCTATGCTGGCCACTTCTCAAAGGGATAGGATAGTGGCGGACTTACATGTTGAGTTCTCTGAATCTGGGGCTTTACGGCCCCAGGCCCCAGACAGATCTGGACCTGTATGGGGGTAGTCCAGGAGGTTATCTTTATACTCTGAGGCGCTGATGGGGTGGAGGTTGGTAAGGAGTAGCTTGTTGGGGGAGGGCTGAGGAGAGGTGGCCCTCACCAGTGTCAGTGCTGGAAGAGGAGTTAGTTCTATGGCAGGACTGACAAAGGTCAGGCTTTTGGTAGTGGGCCATGAAGATTTGAACATCAGACACTTATGACCATTTTCCTTGTCTCTTACAAAGTCTGACTGGAGTGTGGTATTACACTTCAAGCAGCCATTAGGGAGCCACACCTCCCTATCACCGGTTGGTACGTAGGTCAGGCCTCATTACACAGGAATATAAGATGTTTACTTCTTGAGGGTCTTGAGATTGCGTTTGTCCCTGCATCTTAGAAGGCATCCAAACAGAGAATCACGTGCTTGGAATGAGGAACAGATGAGGTATTCCCCACATGGGTCTGTGAACAGGAGTAAGAGTTGCATTGTAGGAACCTTATAAAGTGACCTACAGGTCATCCCCAACGCCTTCAGCCGAGACCATCCCCTGGTAAAACCAAACTCCTTGGGATTCAGACATTCAGATGTCTCAGGCCTTGTGTGTGCACTAGTGCCACTTTGGACTTTTGGATCTTCCCCTTTGGCCACCACCCACCTCCTGGGCAGGGGTCTGGAGCTGGAATGCCCTACTGGCTAGACATCTCTAGCCATTTACAGAACATTACGGCATGCCAAGTGCTTCCCCCGAGAGACCTCACTGAAAATTTTCCTGCCTCTTGGGGATCCTGGCAGAGTAATTTAACAAATGGCCTTCTGTCCTGATTGGCTATCCAGAGAAACAGGGCCTCTGGGGCCTGATAAGTTTTTGCTGCATTGCAAGTAGGGTGGTGGGGTTTGCTCACTCACGGGGGGCCAAAGGGAGTCTAATGGGTGAGGGGCCCAGTAGGTGGCAGCATGAGAACTGGGACTAGGAGGAGCCCTTGGGGAAAGGCCCTCCCCTGGGAGAGGAGGCATTCTGTGCCCCGCTGCTGCCGGTAACCCAGGCCAGGCCTTGCTCTGAAACTTGACCTCTTGTACAGTCCATCACCCCTGCCTAGCCCCTTTCTCCATCCCCAACTGCCTGCATCTCTGCTGACCCACTTCACAGACGGATAGATGAAAACTTCAGTGTGAAGGATCTAGTTTTCAGAGATAAACATCTTGCCCGTTTGCTGTTTGAGGAATGGGATGCAGGGTGAGCGGAGATACAAAAAGATATAGAGGGCTTCCCTCTGCCTAAAATATTTAGGCTTTGGAGACTAGCTACTCAAAAGGAATCCCCAAGCTTCAGGGGTTTGTGACGAAGTAGAAATCATACAAACATAAATGTGAGCAATGCAGGAAAATTTTCTTGCTCCTGGCAGAGCCTAAAAACAGGAAAGAGAAGAGAAAAATGACAAAATTTCCCCAAAAGGAGCCTTACCTCCTGGCTGGCTCGCCGAGATGCATCCCGGGATGATAGGGTCTGGGACAGGTTTCCGGGTTCTTGTGCATGATGAGTAAAGAGTTGGATGTGGCATACAACGTAAGGGAAAAGCAGCAAAGCTTACTAGGGGATTGTACACTCAGAAGGAACAGGCTTGTGCCTACAGAACAAGGCACGGGTTACATTGTTGCGCCGGTTCTGAGCACTTCCCATTGGGGTCTTCAAAGTGTCTCTTCAACTGTGTCTGTTGTGCCTGACCTTTCCCATACTGCACTCTGTTATAATGGGATGTACGAGATGCAGTCCACACACGTGAACCTGCAGTGGCGTGCACAGTCTTCTAGGTTCATTCCCAGTACAGGGGAGAGGGAGGAGGAATTGGAAGTCATGGCATCAGGTCTACATCTGCCGTTGGAGAGCTGTGTTGTGGGGACAACGAGACCCTCCTCAAAGCCTCCTTTACTTTGGAATGTTGGTTTTCTTCCTTCTTTCCTTCCTATAGGATTAGTAATATTTTTAATGCTTAGAGTGAATCAGTACATCAGAATTTTAAGATTGCAGGTGGCAGTAGCAGTAAGGATCTTGAAGTGGTGGGAGGGGAAAAGATAATTATACCAGTTGTCTTCTCGGGTGTGTATTATTTACATAATATGTATTCCACGTGCTGCTCTTCCTTCTGTTCAGTACTGGGAGATGATCCCAGGGCTCATGCGTGCTAGGCAGGCACGCTGCCACTGAGCTGTGCCCCGCTCCGTGTACTGTCTCCTCCCTGTTTCCCTGTGAGGCAGATCTTGTTAACTGTATAGTGAGCCCCTGATTTATGAATGCATTCTGTTCTGGGAGAATTGTTTGTAAGCTGCATCTGTTCATTAGCCAGCAAAGTGATCGTATACAGAGCACCTGTGAAAGTTTGCAACTGGAATGTTTGTAAGTCTAGGACTCACAGTACTATTAGTTAAGGGAACTAGGCTGAAAGGCAATCTGGTGATTCACCAGAGCTGCCCCCAGTGAGGGATCAAGATTTGAAAGCATTTGGTGACTCAAAAGCAGACACTTGCTGCCCTGTTAGTCTAGGAGTGGGACACTGGCTATTGCAGAGTTGGTCACTGAATGCCGAAGAATCTGGTGTTCCTTACATTTTGGTTTCTCATGGAATCAGTTTGTTCCCTCTCCTGCTCCTCTCCCCTCCCCTTCCCTCCTTCCTCCTCCTCTCCCCTCCCTTCCTTTCTGCCTCCCTCCCTCTCCCTCCCTCTTTCCTCTACTTCTCCTCTGTCCCTCCCCCCTTCCTCCCTCTCTCCCTCCCCTCTGTCCCTTCCCTCCCCATCTCCTCCTCCCCTCCCTTCTTCCTCCATGTCCCTCTCCCCTCCCTCCCCCCCCCTCTCTCTGCCCTCTTCCCTCTCCTCTCCCTTCTCCCCTCCCCTGTCCTTTCCCTTCTCTCCCCTCTCCCTGTCTGTCTCTGTTTGTGTCTCTTTCTATCTGTCTCTCTCAGTGTGTGTCTGTCTGTCTGTCTCTCTCTGTCAGTAGCCAGAGTTCTGAAATTGCTGCTAGTGTTTTGTTGGCTTTTTTTCCTGTGATGCTGAGGGCCAAACTCAGGGCCTTGTCCATGCTAAGTAAAATGTACTCTGCCACTCAGCCAAGGCCCCAGCCCTCATTGTGTTGTTTTTATCTTTGACAGTTACTTGCTGGACAGAAGAAAAGCTCTCCCTTCTGGACATTTGAATATTATCAAACATTCTTTGACGTGGACACTTACCAGGTTCGTAAATCTGTTTCATTCATCCTTTTATACAAGGGAGATGTTTTTCTGTGATTAAACAGTCATATCATGGGAAAATCTTTGTGTACGAAAAGAGAAGTCTTACAAAAATAAAGGGTTACCACTTATGTGAAAATACTATCATAAAAGCTCAAGTAGCTGAGTTCACTTTTGTCTTAGTTGAATTTATTAAACTTCTTTTAAAAAGTACTCTGTAGAATTGCTCCTATGTTGTTTTCCAGGTCTTTGACAGAATAAAAGGGTCTCTTTTGCCAATACCTGGGAAAAACTTTGTGAGGTTATATATCCGCAGCAATCCAGATCTCTATGGTATGTGTGGTGCTGTTTTGATACTTTACCATGTAATAGTTAAACTGGGCTGAATTTGTGGGTTGCCTAAAACGCTGGAAAATTACATTGTTGGTGGGATCTATGTTATTTTATTTTTATTTGACTCTTCTGAGATTCACTAGCAATCCTTGCAAAGAATTTAGCGGGAAATACAGTTAGGTATTCTATGAATGCCACAATAACAAGCACTAGTATGCCTGTCAGAGTCTTCAAATGATGTCACAGGCTTGAGAGAAATAGAGCAAAATTGTTGATTTCCTTTCTAGCGGATTTGCTGGCTGTGGCAGTGTGGCGCAGGTAGTCTTACACTTTTTTCACTGATGTGCTGGTTTGGCTGTGCCCTCAGGTGGGCTGATTCTCTTTGGGATTTGGCAGTCAGCTAGGTCAAGCGGTAGCTGTCATTCTTGACCCCTCTGCTGCCTGAGAACAGTCCCAGGGTCCACCCACAGCTTCAGAGGAAATGGTCCCCGTGACAATGGCTGTCTGTATTTGAGGGAAAAATACAGCTGTCTGTATGACAGGTGCTAGGCCAGATTCTAGACTTCATGAAGCAAAAGAATATCCATTATCAGAAAAGTAGGAATTCTCTTTAGAGGTTGAGGGCTCCCTTCTGCTCAGCCCATGTACCCTGTACATTTCTGGAAGTTCCTCTGGGATTAGGGGAATGATTCCTGGATCCATCAGGAGCCTGGTGCAGAAAGACATTGTGCTACTGGGTATGGTGGCACGTGCCTGTAGTTGGAACACTTGGAAGGCTGAGGCAGGAAGATTGCTGAGTTCAAGAGCAGTCGGGGCTATATAGCAAAACCCTGTCACAAAAGAAAAAAAAAAGAGAGAGAGAGAGAGAAAGGACAAAGCTGTTGTGTTGGCCTCCCATTCGGGAGTGGTCAGGGTGGTTTCCGAGCTCTTGCATTGCTTCTTATTTTCAGGCCAAGGATTTCTGAGGAGCAGGCTCTGTATCTGAGGACTGTGTCTCCATTGCCGGTAGGCACCTTGGCACAGAGTAGCTGCTCAGCAGTCTTCAAGCACCTTATTCTGTGCTAGGCCCTGTGCTAGTGGGGAAGATTTCAAGGGAACAGTGTTGTCCCAGCCCCAAGAAGAAGAGAGCCAGCATCTGTTGAGTACCTCATAATTGCCAAGTATCAAGATGAGCACTGTTGTATTATTTTACAATTTCTTTCTTTCTTCTTTTGTACTGGGAATCAAACTCAGGACCTCACGCTTGCCAGGCAGGCACTGTACTGCTGAGCTATATCCGTGGCCCTACGGTTTTATTTCTTATGCCCCAGGATTGCCTTATCTTAGGGTTAGGGAGGGTCCCCTATCCATAGCTACAGAGTTAGCCATTGTAACAGTAGCAGCAGACACAGTCACAGACACTGTGTGTGCCAGACACTGTTCTCAGGGCAGAACTTTTGTTAGCTCATTTACCCCTCATTACAAGCCCAGCTTTACAAGGCAGGTAGTATTATTGACCCTATTTTATAGATAAGAAGACACTGAGTCACAAAATCTCAGCCACTTGCCCAGAGTCCTATGGCGGTAAGGGACTGGGCTCAGTTTTCAGATCAGCACCATACTGCATTCTCCATCATGCTATGCTGCTTCTCATGACCAAGCCAGGATTTCAACCCAAAGTTTGTTTCCTTCTGTAACACTAGTTGCCTAGTGAGATTTTAGATATGATTAAAGTTTGGTGAGTCTAAAGGACTAAAGTGATTAAAGTTCGGTGAAGCTAAAGGCAGAGAAGCCTGGGCCTTGGGGGGTGGCCAAGAAATAGAGGAGAGAAGATGTACCACTATGTGAGGCTGAGGGTCAAGTGGATAAATTAACTCAGATTAAACAAGACTAGCAGAATGCGGAGAGGTGTGGATGACCTTCCAGGCCACCCAAAAATGTCTTTTCCCCAGGTGCCACCATGCCTGGTTTGTTACACAGCTTTGGGCAGGCGGCCCCAGAGAATGCTAGGCAAATCTTTAAATTGGTACAGTTGGCTCCTTGTTTGTAGATTCTGCATCTGCAGATTCCACTCATAGATCATAAATACTTGAAAAAATATCCCATCAGAGCCAGCTGTGATGGTACACATCTATAATTCCAACACAGAGGCCAGGGCAGGAGAATCACTGCAAGTTCGAGGCCAATCTGTGCTGCATAGTGAGTTTAAGTGCAGCCTGAGCTATGTAGTAAGACTCTGTCTCCAAAAAAATATTCCATCTATACTGAACACCAAGACTTTCCTTTCTTCTCATTTTTCCCTGAACAGGACAATATAAAAGCTCTTTCTGCAGCATTCACATTGCTTTTGCTATTACAGGTAATCTAGAGATGATCGAAAGCATACAGGAGGATGTACACAGGGTATGTGCAAGTACTGTGTCATTTTATGTAAAGGACTTGAGCATCCTCAGAGGCTGATATCCTTGAGGTTTTGGACCCAGTCCTCCACAGTAGCAAGAAACATCTGTACACTCACAAATGTCTCCCCATGCCAGGCTGCCTGTTGCCCTCAAGATAAACTCCTAACTCTGTCGTGGCTTCCAAGACCTTGTATGATCTGGTCCCAGTCCAGCTCCAGTCCCTGGCTACTTTGAGATTTCTCCGGCCTTGAGTTGTTTTCTCTGGTTCCTGGGTCTCTGTGCCTGCCTTTCCCTCTTCTGGGTTGTTCTCTTCTGCTTCTGTGGACACCACGTTGTCTGCATGCAGTGCCCTGCCTGAGTGTCCCATGCACTGCCTACAAGCAGGTTGGGTGTTCTGTTCTTTCTCTCCCCAGGTTTCCAGAGGTGACTGTACCTCTGTTCCACATCACCATCTCACCAGCACCTAGCCAGGGCTTCGATGGTGCTTAGTGGCTCTTAGACTACAACCCTCAAGCTTGTGATTCTCCTGCCTCAGTCTCCTGAGTAGCTGTGATTATAGGCATTTGCTGCTATCCCTAGTTTGTTCTGCTTTTTGTCTTTTATGTGGTAGGCAGTCAGAATGATACAGTGTGCTTGAGCCCAGACTATTACAGGCAGCTTGTAGCCTTGGTGCAGGCATCTGTGGAAAGCTGGTGTCTGGAACTCTGGAGCATCCTGTTGATGCCTCCTGCAGAGCCAGAAGTTGGCTTTGAAAAGTGTTCATCTGTTTTTGCTAGTCCTCTCCCCCAGATAATTCTTCATTTTATCATCCGTGAAGGTGCCTGAAATTATCCCAAAGGGTGTTGCAGCATATTAGTGAAATTCAAAAATGAAATTCATAATATCTATTAAAAGTTCTGAATTCAAAACAGAAGGCTGAGACAGAAGGATTGTTGCGAGTTTGAGATCAGCCTGGGCTACAAAGTACCTGAACTATCATAGTGAGACCCTGCCTCAAAAACACACACACAAAAAAATTATATTTGTTAGCCAGATGTGGTGGTACATGTCTTTAAAAAGCAGCACTGTGGAAGCTGAGGCAGGAAGATTGCCTTGAGTTTGAGGCCAGTCTAGGCTGGTGAGTTTAAGGTCAGCCTGCACTACAGAGACCCTGTTTTGTGCTGTACTTTTCCTAGGTGGGGAGAGACAAGGGCAGTGCCTTTGACGGTGGGGTTCGCAAGTCATGGAACATTTAGCCGCTCAGTGGAACATTTTATAACCTTTTAGAGGATAGGCTGATTTTTTTAAAATAACTGTGGTAAAATGTAAGCTATATTAAGATACAGAAAGCTGCCCAGCCAAACACACATGTATATCATCATCTGTATAAAACAAACACATAGCCTGGCATAGTGGTGCTTGCCTGTAACTTCAGTACTCTAAGAGGCTGAGGCAGGAAGATTCTAAGATTGAGCCTAGCCTGGGCAACTTGGTGGCTTAGTGGGACCCTATCTCGAAAATTAAAAATGGGCTGAAGATGTAAGCTTAGAGTGAAGGTCTTGGGTTTATTCCCCTAATTAATTAAGTGAATGAGCAAGGGTATACCTTGCTCAGATGTCCTGGCCCACCCCTTCCCTATCCCTGGCCAGTCAGTCAGTCAGTTAGTCAAAGCACTCGGTAGGGCTGGAGGTATAGCTCAGTGTAAAATCCCTGGGTTCAATCCCCAGTTGTAAAACACAAAAATAAAAACAAGCAAATGCACACACACACATGTACGTGCTTCTATATGTAGATTACTTGTGGCAGAATTTGCTAGAAACTGGTTGCAGTGGTAAGCTCCAGAGAGACCAGATGGAGAGCTAGGGCACTGCTGGCAGGGAGGGAGTCTTAACTTTTATCTGAATTCCCTTTTCTGCCTTTTGAACATTGAACTATGTATATGTATTACCTTTTTGTTAAAAAGAAGATCAAAAGCCTGAAACTGTTCGCTAGACACAAGCGTGGCCGTGTGATGGGTTAGATTCGTTCCCACCTGCAGGGTTGCACTTGCCTCGCTCCTCATTGGTGCTGCAGAAGGACCTGTATGACTCAACTTCCTGTTCTCTACCACTAACCTTTGACACTTAGCTAAGGGAAGTAATCGTTGCTTCTTACATCCTGATGAGGATTTAAACCAAATGTCCATGAATTTTTGATGTTCTTCCAATAAAAGAAACTATACACAAATTGACATCTTTATTCACCTAGTTTTGGGAGGTAGTTTGGCCTTTAGATTCTAATCCGTCTCATATTTAAGGTAACTAATTGTTGAATTGTGTTTTAACTTTTTTTGGGGGAGGGGGGCTGGGAATCAAACTCACAACCTTGCACTTGGCAGGCAGGCACTTACACAGCTGAGCTAAATCCCCAGCTCCCTGTGTTTTGACTTTTTAAAAAAGAAAATCCCCTATTAAATAAGTATTGAACACATCCAAAATTCAGTTTCCCTCACTTACATGAATGGGGAGAGGAAGATAAACTATTCTGTAAGAGTTTAAAGACTGTTGCTTCATTTTCCTGTGTCTGAATTTTCTGGTTGCTTTTGCAGGGCCCTTTTGGATATGTGCCACGTTGGTCTTTGCCATAGCAATTAGCGGGAATCTTTCCAACTTCTTAATCCATCTGGGAGAGAAGACGTACCATTATGTGCCCGAATTCCGCAAAGGTTGGTGAATGGTGCAGCTCATTTAGAATGCTGTCAGTCCCTAACCATGGGCCCCTTTCTCCCAGGCCGTGGGACCCATGTCTCGGGGCTATGGCCCTGCCTTCTCTGTTTTAAGGTTCAAACATTCCTCCTGGCTGAGTTACCACTAATATTTTTTTCCCTACTGTAGTAAAATGTCTATAACATAAAACTTAGCATTTTAAATATATGGATTTAGAGGCATGAGTGTCTTCATGGTATTATAAATTCACATAATTCTGAGGAAAGGTATAAAGATCCAGACAAGATTGAGTAGCATTTAGAATTTATTCTGTTAAAAAGTACAAAGTAACTGAAAGCAGTATGGGAAGGTTCGCCTTGTAGCATTGTTCTGATGTCCCAGCCCTGGGACAGTGGGGCCCTTGTTACTCTGCTTGGGATGGCTCAGATAACTGAGACAGACTGTGACCATGATGAAGAAGAGCAACGTGGGACGTGGGCTTCTGATGGCAGGCCAGGGTCTCTCCTGTTAGCAGCTTTGTTAAGGAGAAGCCTGCAAGAAGCCGGGAAGGGAGAAAGCAGAAATGATCGGGACCCGGTGAGAGGCTTGTAAATCACATTCTTGTTTAACTTCCTTTCTTGTGTCAGTATTAGGCAGTGAAAAGTGCAGAACAGCTCCTGGGGGTTTGCAGGTGGCAGCCACTACAAAGTGAGGAAGTCTGGCTTCCTAGCAGATTGACTTGTGGCACCTTCGCACGCCCCAGCCCCTTCCCTGGCTGCCCTCATCCAGAGAACGTCGGTGGCCTGGGAAGGAGCAGCTCCAGTTCCAGAGCGTGGGCTGCAGCTTGCAGCTCTGTCACTCACCAGCTTGACCTCTTGGAGCAAGTTATTTCCTCGCTCCTGCCTCAGATTCATTGGTGAAGAGGAAATGATAATTCTTACATTTTAGGGCTGTTGTGAGAAGAAAGATTTGATGCATGTATTAGAATAGTGGCTTGTACAACCTGAATTCAGTGAACACTAGCAATTGCTCCCTCTGATATATGTGTGCATACATGTGTGTGCATATATATATATGTGTGTGTGTGTGTGTGTGTTCACAGGTGTGTAGAGATGTATTTATGTGTATGTATATAAGACAGTATCCATGTATTATCCTTTCTTCTCTTCTCCTCTGCCTTCCATACTGATTTTCCATTTCTTTCCTTACCCATCATGGAGTCAGACCCAGATTTAGTTCCAGCTCTCTTTATCAAATGTCTTTGGCTTGAATTTAACCCAATCAAGTAGCTCAGTCCTTAAGTAAAGCAAGATAGGTGAATCAATATTGCTGTAGGTAGTACATACTAACTTTTTCTTTGGGACAAGGTGTTGCCATATAGTTCAGGCTGACATTGAACTCACTTTGTAGCCCAGGCTGACTTTGGACTGAGAGCGATCCTCCTGCCTCAGCCTCCTGCATCAGTTACAGGCGTGCACCACCATACCTGTAAGTTACCTTCTGCGTCAGAGGTTTGTACATGTGTATCGTGCAGAAGAGTGACCCACACTTCCTGTGCACCTGGTAACATAGGAGTATCTTTATCTGTAGCAGAAACTGACATGATATACGTACCAGTAAGATAGTCACAGCCACATCTATCAAGCATTGGCCCATTTTATATAAAGAATATGAGTCACATGTAGACTTAAATCCAGTTTACACCACCTTGTTAATTGTGTGACCTTGATCAAATTACCTTCTCTGATCCCATTGCTTCTCCAAAACAACAATATAGATTATATGAAATAATATATATTAGTTTATTATATTAAAATATATTAGTTATATATATATATATAACTAGTTATATATATATAAATATATTAGAATAATATAAAATTCTCTTAATAATTCTAAAGGTGATTTTGTTTCCAGTGTGCACATAGGGAAACTAAGGCAGGAAGGTTAAGTAACTTACAACCTGAAAAGCTAGTTTGCCTAGGATTAGAACCCATGCCATCTACATATAGACTCTGGCTTGACTATCACACATTCTTGCCTGTCAGTAGAACTCCGAGTGTAATGCCTGATGCCCAGTTGTAATCAGTAAGTGATACCTATAGCTAGAGTAGACTTTCATTCATCTTTTTTTTTTTTTTTTTGTCTTTTTATCGGTACCGGGGATCGAACTCACGACTGCCTGCTTGCAAGGCTTATGCCACTGAGCTAAATCCCCAGCCCCCATTCATCTTCTTTGGTTATCCAAGAGGCATAATGTCAGCAAAATTCCACCTGGCTTCATGAGGGTTCCAGTATGAAAAATCCACTGTAGGAGCTTCAGATGTTTTGGACAATTACATCTTAACCAGAGTCTGATGTAATTGTGTATGTGGGGTGGAGGCTTTATTCTCATCAGGCTGTGTTAAATGAAATGCCTGCTGGTTTCTATGTAGGAAGGAATGGTGCCATGGCTTAGCCATGCTTTAACAAGGAGGGGAGAAAGTCCTGGCAGGCATGCTGCCATGAGAAGGGAAGAAGGGTGATATACTCAGCACCGTGTTCCCAGGGCCCCCTGCCTAGCACTCCACCACCGAGGCAGTTTCTCATGTAAGAAGACAGTGAAACTGGAGAATAGTGCAAGCAATTCATCAGTGAGCTAGGATGCTGTATTTCAGAGACAGAAAGACCTAAATAGCGTGCAGAGCAAGTTAATCTGTATCCAGGGCATTTTAAATAAATTTGCTAAAGAAGTCAGTGTCAGCTCTTGTTTTGCTAGGGAAGAGGATATGTTCTTCCAAGGGGATAGTTGGCTTTTATTTGATTGAAATGTTCAGCATCTCTAAACACTAGCTATGTGACCCTCTGAAGTATTTCACTTGCATAATTAAGTTGCTGAATAATACTGGTTGTTAGTTGTTAAATGAATTTTAAAAGACACATAGAAGAGTTCTGGTCATTACAACAAAGGCCAGTACCAAAGATCCATTAGTTCAGCAGACATTTGTAAGGCACCCAGTGGGTATGAGATACTGGGAAATGCAGACCAGTAAAACACGATCCCACAGTCCACTGCTGTAAATATTAGGAAATGTGGCCAGTATGTTTTCAAAAGTCATCATGGTGGGGATGCAAACTGTGTCCTGTCATCCACAGTGTCCATAGCAGCCACAGTCATCTATGCCTATGCCTGGCTGGTTCCTCTTGCTCTCTGGGGTTTCCTCATGTGGAGAAACAGCAAGGTTATGAACATCGTTTCCTATTCCTTTCTGGAGATTGTGTGCGTCTATGGCTATTCGCTCTTCATTTATATCCCCACAGCAGTAAGTACCACATCACTGAGCAAACTCTGAATGACATTCTTGTCACGAGGGAAAGTGCAGCCAAGAATTTGGCCAGGTGTTGTGTCCAACCAAACACTCATGTGCTATCGACAGTCCCTTTTGAATGTAAAGTAAATGGGGCTATGGGGGCCACATACCTGCTTGGCTTGCAACCCTGGAAGCATCTGCCTCAGTCTACCTGCTGGAGGGTTTTCTCCCTCCAGCTTGCCCTGGAAACCAGATGTATGTTGGGACCAAACTACTGATCGATGCAGGGATTTATAAATGTGTATGTTTACAGTGAACACATACTTCTCTGAAATCCTCCCACAATTCTTCCTCCACCCTTCTTTTCTCTTCTTTCAGATTCTGTGGATTATCCCCCAGAAAGCAGTTCGTTGGATCCTAGTCCTGATTGCCCTGGGCATCTCAGGATCTGTCTTGGCAATGACGTTCTGGCCAGCTGTTCGTGAGGATAACCGGCGCGTTTCAATGGCCACGATCGTGACAATTGTGATGCTTCACATGCTGCTTTCTGTGGGCTGCTTGGTATGGTCTCATTTCTGAATTCTTTTGGCATGTGTTATATACAGATTCTAAAAGATGTCAAGATGTTAGGCACAATGTTTTCTTTAATATTGACTCCATGACGGGGTGGTACATACTTGTAATCCCAGAACTCAGGAGGTTGAGGCAGGAAGATTGAAAGTTCGAGGCCAGTCTAGGCAATTGTAAGACTCTGTCTCTGTCTCAAAATAAAATTTAGGGAAGGCCTGCGGTGCAGCTGTGTGGTAGAAGCTTACCTCGCAGGCACAAGGACCTAGGTTCCATCTCCAGCATCTCACACTCGCAAAACAAAATGAACCGGCTCTGTGAAAGAGACATTATTTTACAGCATCCTAGAGGATGTAAAAATCATGAGAACCTGGTTTAGCTTCTGGCTTTAAGGGTTAGTGTCTGCTTAGAGGAAGTATGTGTGGACATGTGCCTCTGTATGGTTTAGGGTATGGTTTTGGAGGAACACTGCCTTTGGATACTTTGTTGGCTTCTGTCATAACTAAAAAGATTTTGAATTTAAAGTTTCATAGGTAGAAAACCCAAGAATGAAGCCAAGAACAGGAAAATGGAGTTGACTCTTAGGTGGGCAGCCTGTTTAGAGCAGGTTTGGGGTCCCTGTTTCTAGGTACCTTTTAGGAGGGGCCTGTGGTTTTGCATCAGGCAGGCCCAGGTAGAAGGCCAGCTGAGTTGTATACTGGCTGTGTGAGAGCAGCTGTGGCTCTGTAATTCTGAGCTCATTTTTTTCTCTGTTATCATGGCTGTATTTCTTGCCATAGGCTGTTCTGAGGATCAAACAAAGTGATACACAGAAAACACTTAACAAGCTGGGTGTGGTGGTGCATACTTGTAATCCCAGCGCTTGGGAGGCTGAAGCAGGAGGAATGCCATGAGGCCAAGGCCAGCCTGGGATACATAGTGAGGTCAGAGTCATTAGTTCAAAGCTTGAACTTTATAACAAGACTTTGCCTCAAACAAACAATCAAAAAGAATATTTAACATAGAAGTTGTCCTATAAATGATGTCCCTTTTCTTTGACCCTACGGTGCTATGGCTAACCCCTTAAAATTCTACATGGCCCGGGGGGCCATTCTGTCTTTTGAAGGACAGCACCTTTTCTGAGCTGCTGTCACTGACATCCTCTCATCTTCTGTATTTTTGCTCTTGTATGCCTGACTGGGAGGCTGATGAGAGGAAGAAGCAGGAGGAAAAAACAGCATCTTTTTCAGCTCTTTGAGGACTAAAAAGATAATCATTTCCTTAAAGGACTCATCTCACATGGTACCCGTGGCAGTGTTTTTCCCTTCTGTCACTCTGGCTCCCTTCTGAGGTAAATGGCCCTGAAGCCCGTATTTTCCTGCCTATCTTGATGTTCAAGAATGTTGTAGAAGAGGACACAATTATAGAATAAAAAGAGCCTTGGGTGAGGAGGCCCATGGCATTATGAATGCGGGCAGTTTAACTCTCAGGCCTTGCTTTCCTGGTCAGTCAGACTTGCACATCTTCATGGCCTTTTGTGACATACAGTGAGATGGCTGTGGAAACCCTTCATACACCGTGAAGGGTTTTTCAGGTTGGAAGATGTTAGCAGAAGAGCCTGGCATCAGAAGCCGCTGGGGTCAGTCTGTCACACAGTGCTCCTTGGTGCCCACGTAAGACTGTCCAGGGCTCTGTCCTCCACACCGCCTCCTCCTTTCTGTCTGGAGGAGAGCTGGCCCAGAAGTGAGGAGACTTGGTGCCAGTCCCCATCCCACCACTCCTGCTTTGGTCAGTTCTCATCTTGGACTCTCGCCTCACTACAAAAAGAGCTGATTGTGCACGCCATGGTAGCATCTTTGCTACTGGAAGCATTGAATGGTATTTGCAACATGAAAATATGGCAAATGACCCAAATGGAAGATGTTACTACTATTGCAAGGACCAAGAAAGGAATTGGCAGGGTAGTCATCTGAGCTGAGGGGCCCCGGCTAAACTAGATAGCCAGGCTGTCTCCCTGTCCCCTGGGGAGCACAGGATGGTGTTTTGCCTCAGCACAGTGAAGCATGTGACAGTCCCACACCTGCTGAGGCCCTGTGAGCGCACTTGTAAACAGTCCCCCAGCTGCCGAGGGAACACACCTGGCAGTCATGGCAGAGGCTGCATCTGGGGCATGTGTCCTTGTGGGCTTGGAGGGGGCCTGCTGACACCAGAGGATCTGTGCCCTCCCTCTCTGTACTCCTAGAGAGTCTGAGATCTCCTCTGAGGTCTCATGGGCCAGATAATGACCTGCTGCCAAGTCTCAACCATGGAGACCAGTCATGGTTGTGTAACCTTGAGAAAATCTTAGCTTTCTCATCTTTAAACTGGAGATAAAGCCATATGTGGTGGTCACACCTGTAGTCCCAGCACTCAGACAGATAGGAGGATCACCATATTGGAGCTCAGCCTAGCCAACTGGGTAGACCCTATCTTGAATAAAAAATAGAAGAGGGCTGGAATGTAGTTCAATGAGAAGACCCTAGGTTCAATACCTAGTGCTTAAAAAAGAAAAGGAAGACAAGAAAAAAAGAGACGGCCCTTGAAGATCATTGTTTTCAGTCTTAGAGTTTTACAGATAAAGCTGGGGCTCTTGAGGCAGAGATATCTGTCCTTGGTCACTGTGTGAGTTAGTGGCCACAGAACCTGGGATGCTGGCTCATTCCATCTCACCAGTGTTCCTCACCAGGAGCAGGAAGAGAGTTCCTCTTCCTATGAGCTCCTGCAGGGTCCTAGGAGGACTAGAATGGGCCGTGTGGCGACTGCTCCCTCTTAAATTTAGAACTTTTCTTTCCCTACCCCAGAAAACGGCTGCAGGAAGAGGCTCTGGAGAGGAAATCTTTTAAACGGAGTAGAATTGCTGTGGGGAGGGATGAAGTAGAGGCAGCCAGAAAAGACAAAAGTGGGGAACTTTTTGAAAAGAATGTAGAACTGAGACAGGAGATAGAGCAGGCGGGCTCCAGCGTGTCACGTTGGTGCCCCCTTCTGGCGGTTAGACTACAGAGTTGATGAAAGTGGATGTTTTGGTGGCTTGTTAACTTCATCCTAATGCACTGCTGCCGCGGGGTTGAGCAGTTGGCAGCTTTGCCATGGAGGTAGATTTACTTTCCCTTTGAACAGCCGGAGTTCAAGGTAGTGAGGTTTCCTGGGCTATTGTTTGGATTCATAGAGCTCCTCCTTAAAGTCTTCCCTCCTCTACCATCTTCTGATTTTTGACATTTTAATTGGAAATGGTGACTAGAAGCACTTATCAAACCTTTCATTTCCAAGCAAAAAAATTAGGAAAGGAAGCTTACCTAGCACTTTCTTTGTACAGAGCCAGTGACTACTTCAGCAACAATCTGCCTGTAGTTTGCGCTATTGAGTGCTGACGGTTTACATAGTGTGCCAGGCTTTGTGCAGGTTGCTAGTGGCGCAGAGGGGCTGGAGAGACTGTCTCTGCCCGAAGAGAGACTGTAACACCGCATTTTAGAGTAAGGCTGGACCTAGCCTTGAATCCTGGCCTCATCGTTTGTTTCTTTACCTGTCACATAAGGATAATTGTAATGACCTCATGGCGTTCTTAAGTCATGTAACATAGAAGTATCCAATAAACGGAGGCTGAATCTCAAAGGGTGCACGTACACCTTTCGCCCTCGCTGCTGTGGATTTCCTCATGCTAGCCTACCTTGCTTTCTTCTCTGGGGGGTTCATTTTCTTGCTTTTTCCTCTTTTACTTGGCTCAAGTTTACTCTGCAGAGCCAGTTTCTATCTTGCTTTCCACTTTTAATTTTTCAAATAAACTTTATCACTGCTTAAAAACATTAAAAGTATGCACACACAAGTGAAACAGAGAGATAGTCACACCTCAGTGTGATGGCAGATCTGGGAAAGAAAGCATAGGGGCCGCAGGAACCCAGGGCTGTTAGCGTGGAGCTTAGGGATCGCTTCCCTGGACCCTTGTTTGTGACTCCCTCTGCCCCTTTTCCTGCAGGCCTACTTTTTTGATGCCCCAGAGATGGACCATCTCCTGACATCTACAGCTACTTCTAACCAAACGGTTGGAGCAGCCAAGTTCAGCTAAGGAGAAAGGTAAGATGATATTTGCATCCTGTGTGCTACAGTACAAAATAAGCAGGTGTAGCAGTTACTGTTAGCATCAAGAACAGAGAGGTCTGAACGCTTTGCCTGCATTTCACGTGGGTGTGAGTGTGTACATGTCTCTATATGTGTCTTTGTGGTTGAAAGCTTCAGGTTTACAATCATATAATATTGGCTCCCAGGTTGGGGAACATGAGTTTTTCAGTTCTGTTGTAAGAAAAGTCCCTGCCCTTGTCCTGCTGTCCCACTTCCAGTGCTGCAGATAGCCTTTCTAGCAGCATGACACGTACTGGTTTCATAACAGTCCTAGTGGTTCTTCTCGTGTCTCCCTCTGGCTCAGACCCGGAGTTGACCCCTCTTAAATTACTCTTGGGGTTCAATAAACCTTCTAAACTGTCATGCCTCGTTTCATTCATCCCAGGGCCTCTGAGGTGCTTCCACTCTCAATGGCTAGTTAAGGGGGTGAAAGAGAGACAGGGGAAATATTCAGCCTCACGGTTTGCTCTTTGCCTTGCTGTTCTACATTCTTAGTTAACCCAGGCTGCAGCCATGCTGAACTTTTTTGTGGATGGGTGCTGGGAATTTAGCCCAAGGCTTCACGCGTGCTAGGCAAGCACTCGGTAGGCAAGCTACATCCTCCTTTTTGGAATTGATCATGCTAGATGGTTGCAGTTCCAGTTTTCTGAGATGTTTCTGCCCTTCCAACACTCATCTTGTACCTTGTGAACCTATTATACTTTGTATTACACATATATCAGTCATTTTCTATGTGTCTGTCTGCCAACCTGCTAATTTGTTTAGTCATTTAGTAATCTGTTGGTCTTTTGTGTGCTAGTGAGTCTCCCCGTGAGACTCAGCTCCATGAGAGTAGCTTCATTGCCCATCCCATAGCCTGGTGTTGTGGAAGCTCAAACATTTGTGGGAAGAATGAATAAAGCTCCCCTCTCTGCATGATCTCACTGTAGGCCGAGGACTTTTCCTGTGCTTTGTCATCATCAGCTGTTCTTTCTGCTTAAGCTGCTGTCTCTTAGAGGAGTGAACCGTACACAAAAGTTGAGGGCTTTATTGTCGAGTAGAATCACAGTTAAATCTTACTTCTGCCATGTACTAGCAGTGTGCCTTGGCCAAGGGGCTTACTGTCTTTGAGCCTTAGCTAATTATAAAATAAGGATAACACAGGGCCAGAAATGTAGGTCAGTGGCACAGCGCCTGCCTGGCAAGCATGAGGTTGTGAGTTTGATTCCGAGTACTAGAAAAAGAAAAAAAAAAGGATAACACAACCTGTATTACAAAATCAGCTACCTGCCTATAATGCCAGCTACTTGAGAGGCTAAGACAAGAGGATCACAAATTTGAGCCCAGCTTGGATAACTTGGCAACTTAGAGCGAGACTCTGTTTTAAAAGGAAATTTAAAAAGCTGGGGATGTAGTTCAGTATGAAGACCCTGGGTTCAGTCCCCACCATTCCCCCCAATAGCAAAGATTAGAGACCTGTTTATAGAAGCTTATGGCACACAGTTGCTCATAACACTTTTAATCCCAGAACTCAGGAGATTGAGACAGGAGGCTCATTAGTTCAGGGCCACCTTGGACCACACAGTGACACTTTGTCTGAACGCCCCCTCTAAAAAGAAAAAAGATCTCTGTCCCATTGTTGGTAGACCAAGAATGTGTATAGGAATGGTGGTTCCCACTGATTATGACCCTTTATTTCCTTTTTGAAAAACAAATGGGCATTTTCTCTCTTCATTGAAGAATTCAGGTTGCACAGTCCAATGACTGACAACATGCCACTGGTCAGAGCTGCCTTAGCGGGTCTGTTGGCAGGGCCTTCTTCCCGGAGGGCGGACTGAGCAGGGAACTCGGTACACTACCGCAGGCCTTTGGAGCACTACCATGTTCTCCCTTCTTCCCCTTTTCTTAGTCAAGGCCCTCGGAGTTGGTAGGAGACCAGGGTTGTTGAGGCCATTTTCAAATGCTTTCCACAAGCACAAACTGGTGTAATGTGTGTATATTTCAAGTATCAGCATATACTGTCATCAGTCCGCTTGGTGGTTATTAAGGCTTCATTCCACTCGTGGGATGAATTATAAGTAGAAGTTCTAATAGCTCCTCCCGCTGCCTCAGCAGGTTGGTGTTGGCGCTTCTTGCCGTAGGATGAGCAATCGGTAGTTCCATGAATCACGGTTAATTGTCTACACCCTTGTTCAGCTCGTTCCGTAGCTGAACCCAGTGATCCTTACAGTGAAGGCCCTAGGCCATGGTGGTCCCCTTCTTAGGACTGAAGGCCATGAGGAGGGGACAGCGTCTTACTTGACTTGGTTTTTGCAGTGCTGGGCCCAGTGCCATTCATAGTAGGAGGATGAATGAACCCTTAGAAGATGAAGCCACAGGTCAGGCTGTGGCTTTCCCAAAGGTACCTGGCTTGCTGGGCTCAGGGCCACCCTTTACTCTTCCATTCACACCTTTATTGATGGTGCTCTGGCCTCTAAAATCAGGTTCAGTCTTGACCTCATGATGAGGTGAGTAGCCTAACAGGTTATGTGATACAGTGTGGTGTGAAAAATGTCTTAGGTGTGTTGTCAGCTGAGCACCATGTGGCTCAGGTGGCTTCCAGGGGCAAGGGTGGAGATGCTTGTTTGAACTGGGTCCTGAAGGTTGAGTGGCTTCCTATGGCTTTGGGGGAGGGAAAGTTACAGGCCAATCAAGGTGACATGGTGACACCATGTGTGTTCGCATCTCAAGAACAAGAAATTCTGAAACCAACTGGAGAGGGACAGAGACAGGCACAAAAGCCCAGTTTCCTGGACCACTCTTTTGGCCCAAGAGAGCTGATGTCAATCTGGGGAGTGGCTCTTTTCACCTCCTGTGAAGCAGGATTGCAGTTGGATCCTCACCTCTCCTTGTAAATGCTGTAGGCCAAGAACCAAAGGCGCTGTAACCTATGGGACTCAACTGTGTCCTAGGAGATTTTGGCCCTTGGGCCCGTGGGGTGCTTCAGTCTCAAGCTTCTACTCTGGGCTTTGCTCAGATCTATAAACTTAGGTGTCAGCACCTCCTTCTGGTGTCAGGTCTCCAAATGAGGTGGTGATGGACAGCACCTTTGTAGCCTCCCAGCAAAAAGTATTCATCATTTTGCCAAGAAGAGGGATTGTATGGGCCCTGCTTGCTGCCCGTTTATGAGCTGGCTATGCCTTCTACTGTAATCTCTGGACTCCAGCTCTCACCGAAAAGGAATGGCTTCTAGTTTCCATGGTAACCTTCCCTGTGTAACCTGTAGCCTTAACCTGGAATGGGTTCGGGGAGAGCATTAACCCCTTCTCTCCCTGGAGCCTCAGAATCCCAATGGACATTACTGTAAGTAGAGAAGCTCCTGTCACGTAAGTCACTGACATGGGATAAAGAATGTCTGGCTTCTGTCCTTTCCTTACTCACTGTTATCTGAGGGCACTGCCATTTCTTCTGTGAGCCAGGACCCTGCTACAGCCTGGAAGGTGGATCTGGGGAGCTCAGCTTCAGCTGGAGGGATGGAACCTGTGAAGGGCCACGCCCAGAGCTGGCTGCCTTCCCGTGGGCGGTGACCAGGCGCCAGCAGATAATTGTACCTCAGTGTGATAAGGGCTTTAATAATAAATGAACAAAGGGCTTCTAGAGAGTCCTTTGTAATTAAAACCCTCCTGATTTGATGCACTGGCTCTGCATGCAATTATCATTTACTCGCTCATGTTGAGAGTGCTCATTTTATAAGCCACTTTGCAGGGTTTATACACATCAGTTCTTTAATTCTGAAATCGGCTTTGACTCAGTGCTGTAATCTCCACTAGCACAGCATCCAAACCGCAGGCCGTCGTACCAGCGCTGATGTGTCCCTTCCCAGAGATGCGTTTGCTGCCCCTGCCCTGTTTCCTTCTCAGTTTTCTTTGTTACTCCTTTTCTTATAGACTGAGGGAACCTAAGACAGCAAATAGGTCAATGCAATAACTTTATTCTTCTTTAACTTAATGGAAGGTAAATAAACTTTTACTATCAGCGTCAGCAGCTTGGTCAGCTTTGGCTTACCTGTCCACTCATCTGCTCCTCACCTTTTTCCTCCATGTTGTTTTCTTGTTTTGTTGCCTTTTGTTTTTTGGGTACCAGGAATTGGACTCGGGATCTCATTCTTGCCGGGCAGGTGCTATGCCACACAGCTAAATCCCCAACCTCTTTCCTCCAATATTGTTTTGAAGTAAATCTAAGATTCAGTTATTTCACCCATCCATGTTTAAATTCTGTATCTGTAAAAGGTGTTCTTAAAACACAATTACAGTACCATAACCAAATCTAAAAATGACTCTATAATTGAAAATATATTGCAGTGTTTGGATTTCAGAATATTTTGCAAATATGACTCTCCCTGCTTGTTTGATTCAGATCCAAAAAGGTCCACTTGTTGTAAATGTTTATGTCTTTATAGATTTCTACATCGACTGTCTTTTCCCTTGTTGGTTGAGGAATCATTTGTCTTAGTTTCTCAGTGTATGGATTTTGCTGATTGTGTCTGCGTGAGTCATCTGACATGTTCCCTGGTCTCTGACTTAGTGGTTGGATCTAGAGGGTTGATCAGATTTCTTTTTTGGGGGAGTGGGTACTGAGAATTGAACTCAGGACCTCACACTTGCCAGGTGGGTGGTGTGCTGCTGAGCTACATGCCCAGCTTCTGTTTGTTTTTGGTGGGTTGTTAGATTTTTCATTCCCAAACTCCTTACCTGTATGTGTCATTATCTCTCTTTGATATCAGTGGCCAGTAGCAAGCAATGCCTAAATGTATTAACCCGTTAGGGCTTTTAGAAGGGTGATATTTCAATTTTGTCTTTATTAACTTATCTAGTAAAAATACTTCATGTGTTTGTTAGTTTATGAGAAAGAGAAGAAATGGCTCCTCTTTACTTACCTCCCTCCAGACCAGCAGCTGCTCGCCCAGCTCTTCTCCATTGCCAGCAGCTGCAGCCTGTGGCAGGTGTCCCCACGGCTCATGTCTCAGTGGTTCTGTCTCTGGCACCACTCGTGGGCTGGCTCCTGAGTCTTGCTGCCACGCCGTCCCAGCCTTATTTTGAACGTGTCCTGCTGTAGACCAAACCGTTTCCCTGAGGAGTTCTGGTTCCTGTTGGTGGGAAGAGGTGTGCCAAGGGCGCAGTGTAAGATGCCAGCCACACCCGCGGCGGTAGCCTGGGTGCTGTTTGCAGGCATGTCCGGTGTTCAGAGGCAGGAAGTGTGTTCATTTGCTTTTGAAAGAAGATAGTTTGTCGCTCACACTGATGCTTCCAGTTCCTGTTTAGGGTCACGGGGGCTTTACTGAATGGTTCTATCTTATATCTGCCTCTGTGTTGTACCTTACCAGGGTCTCGTGTTTAGTGATGCCCGTCTGATAAGTGCTTACTTGCTTTATGTGCCATATACACACAGTCTCATAATGACAGCATAAATACTGCCACCAATTACTGGACACATTTGAAAACCGTATTATTCTTTACATTCTGCAATGTCCTTCCTTTCCTTCTCTACTTGGATTTTTTTTTTTTTTGAAACAAGGTCTCACTATGTAGTTCGGACTGCTTTTGAACTCACTGTGTAGCCCAGTTGGCCTCAAACTCACAGTGACTCTCCTGCTTCAGCCTCCCAAATACTGGCACTATGGGTGTGTGCCATCGCACTTGGCAACAATTTCTTAGTGAGTCTTCTGGGCCCACTTTTTAAAAATTAAGTTTATTGGTACATGTTAGTTATCCATAATAATCACATTCATCATAGGGAATTTGTACATCATACATCTTGATTCTTTTTTTCCCATTCTCCAACCCTCCCTTCAACCCTTTTTCTCCTCATTTACAAGTTTTATTTCTATTTTTTCCTCCTTTTTTTTCCTTTTCCTTTCCTTCCTTTTCCTCCCTCCCCCCAGTTCCTCTTTCCATTTAAACATTTTCTTTGTATTTCACAGTATCTATTATACATTTTAGTCCTTTATTTATATTTTCAGTTTACCACACCAGAGAAACAATGCAGTATTTACATATCTGTGCTGATTTATTTTACTTAAGAATATGGTCTCAAGGTGTGTTAATTTAGCTAGAAATGTCTCAATTTTTTCTTCTTTATGGCAGAGTATTATTCCATTGTAGTAAAAAACCATGTCTTCGTTATCCATTCATCACTTGATAGGCATTTGAGCTGTTTCTGGCATTTATCTATTACAGCTGTTTGACCCACTTGGATACCCTTTTCTTGGTGAAGTTTTTCTTCTTGAGATAATACTACTTCCTTTCTTCTCTCTGCCGTTCTGCAGCTCTTTGTTCACGGTGATTTACTTATTTACTGGACTTCTTAGACTGCACCTTCCTCAAGGCAGAGCTTTACTTACTAGTACAGCGCCAGCACCCAGCAGACACTCAGAGAAAACACGATTTTAAATAAACAATAGCTGCTGTGCATGTCATGTGGCGCTCAGAACTTTACCTACTTGGTAGGTGCCATTGATTGAGGGTCTATGCTGGGCCGGGTACCTGGTGCTGACCACTACTAGCCTCATATTCCCAGATTCGACATCCCAATTTGATTTCATTTCGTTTTGTCATTATATTTTATTTTGCTAATTCTGGGGGTTTTGAGATAGCTTCTCACTGTATAGCTCAGGCTGGCCTTGACATCACTGTGTGGTCTAGGCTGGCCTTGAACTGTGGCAGTCCTACTGTTTCAGCCTCCCAGGGGCTGGGATGATGGCTGTGCACCGCCACAGCTGGCCCCATTGTATATTTCGTGCACACAGGGCTAGAAGGCCTTCTACATGGAGCGTCAGGCTACAGGAACTTACTGGAACACTTCAGGCCAGGCAGTGGCAACATAGGCCAGGCCTACGTGTGGGGCTGGAACCAGGGAGAGGGCAGAGAATGACTGTACCATGGCTGCGGCACCCAAGATGAGCAGCCAGTGGGGGCCCTGGCTCGGGTCTTAGACTGAGAGGGAAGGAAGTGCTGGCTGTTGGTGACATTAGGGCCATCCTGCTACAAAGGAAGGTGTCATCTTCTTTCTATCCTGTGGCTTAAGAGCTAGGAATTCCTGGTCTCTTCCCTGTAGGCCACCCATTGAAAGCTGACAGCAAGAAAAGGGAATTTTCTATCTTCAAAGCTTTCTGCAATCTTGACGTTAATTTGAAGCAGACAAGTAGAAAGATGGACTAACAATCTGAAAATGAAGTCCTCAGCGCTCCCTGGCGGGCTGCTTTGACCTCACCTTTCCATTGTCACAGTAATGATTATACTTAAACAATGCTTTGTATGTGTGTTTACCTTGCTGAATTCCCTGTAAGTTTCTTCAGGGCTGGGTCAGAGTCTGACTTGGTCATCATGGTGCCGAGCATAGGGACAGTACCGAGTGCATGAGTCTTCAACAAATACTTGGATTCATTATGAAATCTACCATCACCCAAGCTAGACACACAGACATCAGTGTAGGTTTTTCCTTCCCATGTTCCAGATCTTCTTAGACAGCAAGAGTTTCCTCTGCTACCTCTGGAGTATTCCTCAAACCTGTGCAATCTTTATCATACTGGGCACTCAGGATTCAACCACTCTTTCCTTTTCCTTCTTTGAGTATTCACTGTTTCCAGCCACAGGAGTCTTTTGAAAATGTACTGGATCTTGCTTTTGACTGAATCATTTCCCTACTTTTTTCAGGGTGGAGGGAGTTGTTTTCAGACAGGATCTTGTTGTGTAGCCCAGGCCCACCTTGAACTCATTACACAGCCCACGATGACCTCAAACATCTTCCTTCCTCAGCCCCCCAAGTGCTGGGATTACAGGCGTGCTCACTTCCTTACTTGGAACATGGTGATGCATAATGCATATCTGTAATCCCAGCACTGAGGGAACCTGCGGCAGGAGGATAGCAAGCTCACGCCCAAGCTGCGCAGCTTAGCAGACCCCTCCGGAAAATAAAAAGAGAAAAGGGCTGGGACATAGCTCAGTGTGAAGGCTCTGGTTTCCGTTTTGGAATTGCCAAAAAATGTGTGTGTGTGTGTGTGTGTGTGTGTGTGTACACACATGTATATACATATATGTGTATATGTAGGGCTAGGAAGTGGCTCAGTGGTAGTGTGTCTCCCTAGCATGAGTGAGGCCCTGGATTTGATCTCAGCACCACAAAACCACAGCAAATCAAACATTAAATGTTGTTCAGCACACATTTCTGTCTGTCTGTTCTTTTACACCCGTGGGTTGCCACATACATATATATATGTGTGTGTGTGTATACATGAAACAACTTTTGTTTTTTGGGGGTCATTTTTTTGCATCCCATTGTCCAAAGAAGAAAGTCCAAACTACCTGGGTTGCAGTGAGCTAACCCTGCCCTGTGTGTCCTGCTTCATGTCCTTGTGTTTCAGCCACTACACACAGATTTTCAGTTCCAGATCTTTTTAAGTTCCTCTGTGTCTGCTTTATTGTTCCTGCTCTAGTGCCTGATGCAGAACAGGGACATGGTGGGTGAAGGTGAGCATGCGGATCTGGGTTGGATAAGATCCCTGGATTTCCAAGGAAATAGAACCATTTTAAAAAGTCAGCTCTCCTGCAACATTGATTTTCACTTTGAGCGCAGAAATCAGGGCTCAAGGCTCAAGGTTTTGGATTTTTTTTTTTTTTTTTGTCATTTTTCTTTTTATCAGTACTGGGGATCTAACTCACAACTGCCTGCTTGCAAGGCAGGCGCTTACACCACTGAGCTAAATCCCCAGCCCCAAGGCTCAAGGTTTAGGGAGTTAGTGGTTTAACTTTGTTTATTTATTTAGGTACCAGGGATCAAACTCATGGCGACATACTTGCAAGGCAGATGCTTATGCTGCTGAGTTAAATCCCCAGCCAGTGGTTTAACTTTAAACGTTAAATACCCTTTTCTACAATGTAGCTTTCTTCTGTAAGGGAGAAGCCTTGTCTTAAAAGTCACTTTTTGTTTTTCAGTTCTCTTTTCATGTATTGGGGAGCGTGGTTCTTCTGGACCTGGATCTGCTGCAGGAAAGCAGAGTGGCCAAAGCAGGCAGGAAGTGGACAACGGCTCTGTGCCGAAGCTCATCACCTATTTAATAAACAGGACAAAATGCTGGGCTAGGAAGTGGCTCAATGTAGTGCGTCTCCCTAGCATGAGGGAGGCCCTGGTTTTGATCTCCAGCAGCACAAAACCACAGCAAATCAAACATTAAATGTTGTTCAGCACACGTGTCTGTCTGTCTGTTCTTTTACACCCGTGGGTTGCCACTGACTGCGCTGCCTGGAAGTGAAATGCCGGGGAGTGAGTCTGTGCACGTTCCCTCCCAGTGCCTCTAGGTAGGGGACGGGCTATTTGTCAGGGCCGCTTCCAGCACCTGGAGTGCTGGGGCCCTCCTCTGAAGGATGCTCAGACCCTCCTCACTGCTGCTGCTTCCCTCCTAAGGTAGCCACACAGTGGAATCTTTGGTTGGGATTAATTGGTAATTTGAAAATTCATTTTTGATAATCTGATTTGGGGCAACTGAACCTATTGGCTGCAAAATGATAACTCATCGTCTGTGCGTAGTGGTCATCCTGGCACTCGAGAAGCTTAAGACGGGGATCGCTGCAGATCCAAGGCCAGCCTGGGCTACGTAGTAAGTTCAAGGCCAGTCGACCACATAGTGAGACCCTGTCTCAAAAAAACAAAAGCAAAAGAAATACATAACACACAGTGTTTGCACCTGCAGTTTTATGGCTCATCTGAAATTTTCCCTTGAGGTTTTATCCTTACCATGCTGCAGGCTTCTACGAGTCTGGTATAATTACTTGCTGTCAAGATATAAGGAGTAGATGGGCACGCAAATGTCCTGTGAGTGTGGAACATCAGTAAAGAATACGGTTGCAGGACTTCTCGTCTCAATAGTGTTAAATGGAGACACCAGTGGCCAGCAATGGCTTCCCCAACAAGTTTCCTTGCGTGCACATCAACAGAGGTTCAGAGATGGAATGAGTCTCATGTGGCTGCTGCATGGTGCCATCAGGTGTCCAGTGATTTCAGTCTTTTCTGCTTAGTTGGCCTCAAGCACAGGTAGTGCAGAGCATGGCTCCAGGCCCAAAACCCAAAACAGCCTCAAAAGTGGCTCTGCCATACAGGCCCCTGCTTCATACTATGTGCAAAGCCAGATTGCTGTGCCTCTACGGGGAGTGGGGTTCCTGCTGTGCCCAGCCTTCTGGCCACCGTGCTCTCATGCTTCTCTGCATTTCTAGTGCAGGACACTTCTTTCCTAGCCGTGGCCTTTGGGTCTGCAGAAACCAAATTCTTGGGGAATAGGAGGGACGAAAAATACTTCTCCATTCAGTATTCAGGACTTTTTCACTCTTAGCCCTTCCCTGTCTCTGAGTAGTCCTGGGATTTTAAGCTAGCAGAAGCCTGTTAATTAGGGATCCCTTTGTGGTAAGATAACTTCTGTCTCCACTGACCTACTTAACCCTTGCCTGACATTGGTGCATGGGGCAGAGTGGGACATTAAGGGAGCTGGCACCTGATTAAAAACCTGACTGATGGGTTCATTTTCACTTGTCTTAACTGCTCTTAACAGTTGGTAACTTCCAGTTCAGCTCAGCTCTTTTTTTTTTTTTTTAATTTTATTTTTTTATTGTATCGGTACCCGGGATCGAACTCACGACCGCCTGCTTGCAAGGCAGGTGCTTATGCCACTGAGCTAAATCCCCAGCCCCTCAGCTCAGCTCTTGACAGGCAGCAAGAAAGCAAAGGGCAAAAGAGCCAAGCCAGTGGGCTAGCCTGCCTTTCAATGGGCTTCCTCCAAAGGCCTACCCAGTATCTTCTGCTTAGATCTGACTGGAGAGCAGTGTGTCAGTCATACAGTTACCCTTGGCTGCAAGGGAAGCAAGGAACAGTCAGCAGGGCACGCTGCTACCTGAGTGAACCATAATACTGTTAGTCGGGAAGGCAAAGGGAAAGGCTTTTAGATTACTATATCAGCAAGTTCATACTTTGGGAAAGTTGATGGTGGCTTGCCTGTTGTGTTTGATTTCATTAGTTGCCATAGTATAAAGAGGAATTAATTTAGCAAAGAAAGCGATGATGTGAGCATGGTTTCTGTAACTCCTTGACTCTCTCATGAAGACAGAGTAACCAGATAGCAATGGATAACACCTACAGCAAAACTTGGTCATGGGCCATCTCCAGAGACCCAGAATCCAAACGGAGGAAGCGTTTGGCAGTGCTGACTTGCATGGTGTCAGCATTTTGGGGAAAGAAGCAGAAGGGAGCAACAGGGAATATGCAAACAACCGCATCGTAGCCAACAGGCGCTGTCTGGAGAGCACAGCAGACCCTAAGGAGGTAGCTGCAGAAGTTGGCTTGTATGTGAATTTGTAGCCCACGACTGTGACGGCTCCGGGTCAGCTCCGTGGAGTGGGAGCAGCCCAGGTCTCATGGACTCCAGAACAGCCAAAGCTGCTTCCCCTGACCTCATAGGAGACGCTACCAGGAGCAGAGTACAAATGGGGTAGGCCAGAAAACAAGGAGCCGAGAAGAGAGTGGGCAGGGGGGACAAAGCTATGAAAAGTCTGAAGCATAGTTCCGAGCACTTCTCAGTCAGGTGAGAAAGCTGTAGAGTCTGAAATTAGAAAAGCTGCCCTGACTCTTCTCTTTATCCTAAAGGTGTAGGAAAATAATTTCGTGTGAAAGAGCAACAGAGAGGATTCCGGCCCAATTTCATGGTGAAGTTTTTATGAAAATGAGTGATGGGGCCAAGGATTTAGCTCAGTGGCATAAGCACCTGCCTTACAAGTGCGTGGTCATGAGTTTGATCCCCGGTACCAAAAAAGAAAAGAAAAGAAAAATGAGTGATGGTGTCAGAAGTCTCTAGATGGGCACACTCACAAAATCAGGTAAGAGCTCTAACCTGGTGTGGCTTCTCAGGGAGCTAAAAAAACTAGAAAGTGTTTCTTTTAGTTATACTATATATTTAAAGAAACTTCCAAGTTATGGAAGGAAAACACTGTTCAAAATCACAATGCAGAAATTAGGTCTCAGGAATGAAAAGAGAAGCTCATTTTACAAATGAGGACAACTAGAAGGGATGTCAGTGAAGATGTACAAGTGATAACAGGGAATAAGAAGGGGACGGGGGGGCTGCAGAGTCAGCTCCGCGGTACAAGTGAGATGGTGAGTTCAATCCCTGGTGCCAAAAAAAAGAAAGAAAGAAAAAGAAAAGAAAAGAAAAGAATGACATCACTTATATCCCGGGATAATAATGACAAATCTAAGCATGCAACAAAAAGTGAAAAGAAGTGACAAATGCAGAAGGCAAGTGAGGAAGATTTAAAGGTGTCTCCAAAGGAGGAGAGGGAATAATGAAAGAGAATAAATACAAAAAATACTATTTCTAAAATTATCCTGAAAAGAGATTCAAGACTTCATATGGAGAGGCCACATCCCATACCTGGCGAGATCAAAGGGAAGATCAGTTCTGAGATATATTTTAGTAAAGTGTGTGGATTTGAAAGAAGAAGAAAAAACGTGAGGCATCCAAGTTAAAAGACAAATTCACTTAAAAGGAAAAGAAAACCAGATTGTCCCAGCTTTTTTGACAAAAGCCCTTTATGTTGCAAGACTACAGTAACATATCTGACAGCCAAAGTGACTTCCCAGTGTAGAGGCCACACATATTCTCAACACAGAAGATTGCAGGGAATATTCCCATGTTCTCTTTCTGAGATGATTCCCAGGGCACAGGCTTCAGAGTGACCAGCAGGACATTGCTGTAACGGGTGGCAAGCACTTTACATGTGCTTACTTGTGGAGCGAAGAGCAAATGGTGGTTGTAATGGACAGAATATAGTTTATGTTCTTATGCATCCTTTAAATATACAGCATAACCAAAAGAAAGTAGGAGAATGGGGAAAGCAATTTTTTTTTTGTCTTTTTCCTTTTTATCAGTACCGGGGATTGAACTCACGACTGTCTGCTTGCAAGGCAGGCGCTTATGCCGCTGAGCTAAATCCCCAGCCCCTGGGAAAGCAGTTTTTTTTTTGTGTGTGTGTGTTTTTGCTATGCAGTTCAGGCTGACCTTGAGCTCACTGTGTAGCCCAGGCTGGTCTCAAACTTGCAGTGATCCTCCTGCCCCAGGCTCCTGAGTGCTGGGATTACAGGTGTGTTCCTCCACACTTGGCTTTTAACAGAAAATAAACTTGGGGCTTGCCAGGCTTCGGGGTACATACCTGTAGTCTCAACACTCAAGAGGCTGAGACGGGAGAACTGCTGTGAGTGAAACATAAAACAGAGGTATATGATATAATTCCCAGTGTCCACCGCGGGGTATATATTCAGCCACAGCAGAGGCTCTTCTCCGCGGGGCTGGAGGTGGGGTGGGATGCAAAGCTAGGACTTGACCCCAAGACTGGCTCTGGTTTGTTCTTTCTCTGCCATGCTGCCAGTGGCAGGATACACCCAGTGAGTGTACCTGATAGGACTTTTAGAAGGAAGGCTGCAGCAGGAAAAGCTTCAAGGAAGACGTGGAATTTGAAGATAGAGAATCAACTCATGCAGACATGTAAGGGCAGAAACAATGGACAGAAGGTCAAGGCATGTATAAGACAATCAGCATGGGTTTCTCCAGCCTGTGTGTCCTGCATTCATCCATTTTCCAAGAACAGCATGTAATCTGTGATCAGGTCTGCAGCTGGCGGCTGGACGTGTGGGTGAGGAGAGTGAGTGGCTAAAGATGGGGCCTCGTACCCCCCTGGGGAGGGCCAGCAGTGGGTCTGCGCACCCGTGATGTCCACGGCCTGGCCCACATTCCCAGTTGGACCTGCTGGCCAGGTGAGTGAATGAATTGATGCATAAAACAGTATTTCATGGACTTTTAATGTCATCTTCAGGTAGGTGGAGTCATGGACCTCCTCATTATTTGAAAGGTAGGTAATGGGGCTCAGTTTGGACAGGTAGAAGAAATAAGTACACACCAGCATCCTCCATTTTACAAACCCAAGCACCAGATGACCGCATTACTGTCTCAGGCTACCATGCTCTCAAGCAAGGAGCCAGGGTATCACTCTGTCTGTCTGGCCCCCCAGCCTTTCCCTGTGGCGTCATGGCCACTGAAGCAGTCACGTGACAGCCGATGATTTGGCCGCCTCTTCCACACATACTCAGAGATGAAACCCCCCTCAGAACCTCACATTCCCCATCAGATTTCATTTTCTTCTTGCGTCATAG